ATGTTATTTTTTTTATTTTATTTATTTATTAATTTTTTTTATTATTTATTTTTTGCGGGTGGCCGTTTTACCAATAAAATGTCGTTTGGAGCATCCCTCCTTTGCTTTTCTTTGTTTTAATGCTAATTTTTTACTCTTTCTGGTGGCCATTTTTTTCAATAATATATCGTTTGGGCCAACCCTCTTTAGCCAGAGTTATCCTGATGATCCTTTAGGTGAAACCTAGGTGGAAGGTTCTGGCTCGTTAGGTTTTTTAGTGTATATATATATATATATATATATATATACTAAACTGTAATTGGTAGAGATTATTCCAAATAGGATTTTAGCCCATATGAGAGCACAATGTATGATACAGAGCTTAAAACTGTAAACAAATTCATTGTCGGTAATAAATTTATTTCGATAATTATAGGCATGTTCATCTCATCAAAGCCGATTAATATATATATATATATATATATATATAGTGGGCAGCAACCTTTTACACATGTTTCGTTGAATATGGCAGACAAGGAAAATTTAATTAATCTCTTATTTCGTTTTCTCTTGTATTCTTTGATTTTTTTTCGTTTCGTGGCAGTAAAAGGGAATGCAAAAATTACCCGTATTTCGGCCACTTGTTTAGACTTTTTCAATGTCGGAGGGTGGAGTGTTATTATGATTTTTCCATGTTTGACTGTTTATGATGTATTTAGTATACTGCCTTACTCCCAACCAACTGAAAAATGTAAGAATATTGGTAAAACTAACTAAATAAAGTAAATTAAATTTTCTTTGCCTGTCATATTCAACGAAAAATATTTAAAAGTATAGTTTCCACCCAAATATACATTTTTAAAATATAGAGAAACTACATGGCTGATAACCACTGAAAAGTGGACGAACAGGTCCGTCCACGAAACTCTAGAGTCGGAATACTGAAAGGTAACATCAATTAGCTAAGTGGCAAAATTTTACTCAAATTAAGCCTCTCTCTCTCTCTCTCTCTCTCTCTCTCTCTATATATATATATATATATATATATATATGTATATATAATGAAATGGACAAAGTCCGGCAATTATTTTGAGACATTTCTTATCTTTATCCGTTCTTTTTATAGATACAACACTTGTTTAGACATTTTCAATGTGGGAGGGTTAGGTGTTTTTTTATTCATGTTTGACTGTTTAAGATGTATTTAGTACACTGCCTTATTCCAAACCAACTGAAAAATGTAATACTGGATAAACTAAATAAAAAAGTAAATTAAATTTTTCTTGTCTGTCATATTCAGCGAGACACACACACACACACACATATATATATATATATATATAACAAACTGGAAAATTTCCTATATATATATATATATATATAACAAACTGGAAACGTTATGTCGGAAGAACTTGTTGCTCTAATTCTTTTGATGAAAACAGCTTGCCTTAAATTCGACATTCTAATGTTGTTTTCTTTTTTAAGTCGACGGGGACACCGACCATTTTCACTGGTGAGAAATACACCCATCTTTATGACACCGTGTACGTTTATCCGTATTTAAAAATTAATCCGAAACACTAAAGATTTATTAGGCTTCGCGTCAAATTCACTTCCTTTATTTTGAAAATGACGTTACGGGGAAACACTTTCAGAGACAAGGGACGTAACTCTGTTTTATTTGAATTTTCTTTTTTCGATCGTCTCTCATTTGGTCATTATTTTTTTTTTTTAACACAGTTTTCTTCTTTGCTTTCCTTTTTTCTCTATTTTTTTTTTCTTTTCGTCTTTTTTTTCATTTTGGATTTCATTTCTTTTTCGCCGTTGTCGAATTTTTCTTATCTTTTTAACATTTCATTTTCTATTTTCCTATTTTTTAGAATTTTTCTTTTCTTCTTCTTTTTCATTTTTTATCTTTGTTTTTTTTTTATTTAACAGTTTTCCTGTATTATCTTCTTTCTTTCTTTTGCTTTCTCTATCACTTCATTCCCAAATTCTTTTTCCTTCTTTTTTATCCTGCACTCTCTCTCTCTCTCTCCGTTTTCAATTTTCTTTTTCTTTTCTTCTTTTATCTTTTGCTTTCTCTCTCTCTCTCTCTTTGACTCTCTCTCCCTCTTTCTTTCTCTCTCTTCTCTTTGATTCTCTCTTTTTCTTTCTCCCCCTCCCTCCCTATTTCTCTGATTCTCTCTTTCTCTTTGTTTTCGGTATTTCTTCTTTTACACTTTTTCCTTCTACGTTTTCTTCATTTTTCATTGGTTTCTCTGACTTTTCTTCCATTGCTTTTCTCTTTACTCTCCTTTTCTCTTCTACCTATCATTTGTCTTTTTTTCTCTCCCCTCTGCCTTTTTTCGTTCTTTTTTTTTCTCTTCATTCGCCGTTCCTTTCGTTCCCCTTTTCCTCCTTATTTCTTCCCCCACAATTTTCTTTTTTAGACTGTATTCTTTTATTCTTTGATTTCTCTCTCTCTCTCCTTGACTCTCTCTCTCTGATTCTTACTCTTTCTTTGTCTCCCTTGCTATGATTCTCTCTCTTTGATTTCTCTCTCTCTCGATTCTCTCTCTTTTTCTTTTCAGTACTTTTTCGGACTATTGTCCTCATCTTTGTCGCCATATTTATTACAACGTTTCGGCCGTTGTACGCTCCAGCCTTCTTCAGGTGGTTGGAATGTCGAACTTAACCCTTTATTTCGCTCACTGGGATAGACTGTTCGAGTTCCACGTACCATGTTTGATCGATGTCAGTTATCTCCTGTTAATTCCCCTCTCCTAGTTCTCTACTGCCTTAAACGGGTATTGAACTCACACTCTTTAGGTCCTGTAACTGGATTTAGCCAACGCCTTTATCCACTGTGCCAGTTCAACATTCCAACCTTCATTCGGCCCTTCAGTATCTGTCTATATTTCTGAGATGAGGTATTATGTACACTATTTATATTATTCGGACTATTGTCCTCATCTTTGTCGCCATATTTATTACAACGTTTCGGACGTTGTACGCTCCGGTCTTCTTTAGGACACATGGCACAGTGGATAAAGGCATTGGTTAGATCAAGTGACAGGATCCAAAGAGTTGTGAGTTCAATACCCGGTCAAGGCAGTGGAGAAATTTCAGAGGGAAATTAACAGGAGATAACTGACATCGATCAAAAATGGTACTTGGAACTAGAAGTGTCTACCCCAGTGAGCGAAATAAAGGGTTAAGTTTGACATTCCAACCGCTTGAAGAAGGTTGGAGCTTACAACGGCCGAAACGTTTTAATAAATATCGCGACAAAGATGAGGACAATAGTCTGAATAATGTAAAAAATGTACATATTTCATCTCAGGAATATAGATATTGAATATTTCTATATATTCATCTCTTCAGACCGAAAGAACTTTCGGCCTCAAGAGATGAATATGTTTGTGTATGTGTTTGAATTAGACAGGAAATTTTCGTAGTAACCATAGTACAGACATCGGCTATATAAATGAACTGACAGGGATAGTGTGATAGATAAATATGTCGAACGAAGAGCAGACGATGTCACTAATTAGTTGACTGCAGACCAGGAAATGGCTCTGTTTGCTAATGAAAACGATCGATAGATTTGATTGGAGGCTTTCCTATTTGGAGGTCAGTATCTCTTTTCTTTTTTTCCTTTGGTCTTTTCATTTTTCTTGGCGTTATATTTTTTTTAAAAAAAGATGCCACTGACACCGACGCATGTCTGTCACTTAATACATAAGTCGAATAATTAAAATTGATTGCCCGAACCCATAACCTTCACCTTCTCGTAAAGAAAACAACGAGAAAAAATAAAAATGTAATATCATTGCCGGCATGTTGTTTGCGTTGGCACGCATGCGCAGCTTCTCTTGGTCGACTGATTTCTTTCAAGTAATTATAGCAAACCAACTTCGTCTTCTTTTTTATTCTGAAGAAAGAAGAAGAATTGCAAAAGGGATAAGAATAGGTGAGAACCCCACCCAAAATAGGGAATAATGGGAAAAAGAATCTGATAAAATGAAGAGAGAACTGGATACTAATCTGTAGAATAAAGAAAATATATATATATATATATATATATATATAATATAATGCTTGAGATTCAAATAGATGGAGTGGATGGAATAAATGAGATAGCTGAAAATTTTAAAATCATTTTTTAATAATTTTCAATAATGAACCGTTATGCAGGAGTATAATCCTGGGAGTGAGGAAATGTCCTAAACACTTCATAAATGGGTTAGGGAAAAAAGAATTTCTCGAATGGATTTTTCTCCAAAAATGAACAATATTGTCGAGCCGTCTTTCTCAAACGAAAAATTATATATATATATATATATATATATATATATATATATATATATATAATAAAAAGGCTTAAACAGTAATATTCCATGGTCATAATTTATTCCATTGGAATCGTAAATACGATCCAATTCATCAGACCTACAAATTCAAAAAAAATTTGAATTTGCAGGAGAGTCTACAAGGTCTATATGCCCAATATTTGCAGGTGTACAAAATTTGCATCGGGATACGTGGAAAGGCATATATCTTCAGAAAATCGAAGTGTACATTTACCTGTAACGGCATTCACCCGGGGTGGGTTGAGCCGGCTCCAATATTGGAGTTTCATGAGAATTTGGAATTCACAAGCGGTCCCCAAACCCACATGTATAGCACATGAGATTTGATTATAGTGGTGAAGGTTTCGTGCAGGACCATCCACACTTTTTGAAGGGCCGATTACAGAGACCTGGTGCACTACGTGCCACAAGGTCGCCAAACTTTTGAATTCAGAGTTTTTCCTTCTCCTAGACCAGTTGCCATCCAAGGCTATAGAACCCAGTCTGTCCTGCTATTTACCCATAGCTGGAGGGAGAAGAAGAGGATTCACACCTTTCTCAAGGGTATTCGCACGTAAGTGAATATAATGGATTCGACTGGAATTCGAACTCGGCTCTCCGATTCCAAGCCGCTATCCATTACTCCACCGTGCCTCCTCTGAAGTGTATAAAAATGCTGCATTAATTCTTTTGTTTATGCATTGCCTTAATTTTTCACTTTGTAGTATTTTTAAAACGATGCAGTTTAATGCATTGATTATAAAACTTGTGTAGCAAAAATATCAGCAGGCATTTATATGAATATGCATGTCTGCGAAAAAAAAATATGCCAACATATTTTGATCAGATTTGCAGCTCTCCGTACGCGATGTAATAAGTGCAAATAAAAAAGAACAGGTCACAAGAATAAAACAAGGAAGACAAAGATGAATATAAACAAACACACACACACACACACACACACACACACATATATATATATATATATATATATATATATATATATATATATATATAACTATGAACCTAAAAGAGCCAGGCCAACTTACCTAGTTTTGCCTGGCTCTTTAGGTTCATAGTTAGATTTGCTCTACTTAGTGTATTGAGCACTTAGTTGCTTTTGCTTTACTAGTTTTGGAGTTTTCGCAGGACAGACTGGGTTCTATAGCCTTGGACGGCAACTGGTCTAGGAGAAGGAAAACTCTGAATTCAAACCTGCTCGTAGAGGAGGGTGAATGGAGTCTCTCTGAGCTTTGGTTGGCAATCCATTTAGTGTTGGTGTCACGATAAAAACACCCTTGATAGCCCTAGCGAAGAATCAAGAATTCAGCTATTTGACAAGATTATGAACTACACCAATCAAAGTATTGGTGAGTTCAATCTCGGCTGAGGCTTCAAGATGATGATGATTGGAGTTTTATTTGGATTCTGGACGATTGTTTTCGCTTCAATTACATGCTCTTAGTTCTTTTTTTTCTTTTTTTTTTCTGTCCCTTATTTTTCCTTGGGTATTTGTTTTGTTTATTTACAAGCCAAAACACATAAGATTTTTCCGGACGAGTATAATTACTTATAATGTTTGAGGCCAGCCCTGGTAATTAGATATATTGACCCAAAACGTAGTAGTTTTGAAGTTTAAATAAGAGAAAAGTATTAGACATGATTGTAAAAAGAGAGGCATAATTCTTTTTTATTTGAAATGTTGTTATGACAAAAAGAAAGAAAAAAAGCATTTTATGATTAAATTTTGCTCTCGTCAAAATATCCTCCTTTAACCATGATTACTGCAGCACCGGGTTTTCTGATTTGTTGCAAAAGTTTCTCAATGTATAAGTCTGACAATTGATTCCATTCATTTATCAATGACGTGAAGAAATCTTTTTCATTTTTTTTTTTTTTTTTCACTTTTCTATCAAGTTCATCTCATACTAATTCTGGGAGTTTCTCCAAACATTTGAACATTGTACACACACACACACACAATTCCTCACCTCTTCCTTCACTGGTTCTTGGTCCTTGTATATTTTTTATAGATTTTATCACATGTCAGCTTTCATTCTGTTATTTTTTGGGTGGGGCACTCATCGCGTTTGTATCTGTCTATACAACTACACCAGCCTCTCTAAAATTTGCTGTACGCTGAGGCGGCACACACACACACACTTATATATATATATATGATACCAGTAAAACATTTGTGAATTAGCTGATTGATGATACCTTCTTCATCCCTTAGAAATTATATATATATATATATATATATATATATATATATATATAGCAAGAGGTGGTTAGATAGAAACAGACTGAAATAGATAGATAGGTAGATATATAGTGAACAGACATAGATAGTAAGATAACGAAAAGAGTGGGATAGATGAAACTGAAAAAGAACTAAATAGGTGTACAGATATAATGAAACTGAGACAGTTATGAAGAGTGTGAGATAGATCTGTTAACCCCCTATATATATATATATATATATATATATATATATAAGGAATTAATGAATTTTATTTATAATCCGTCATCATTTCCTATTAATAATGAATTATTGGTTATTACGTCGTATTTAGGGAACAGGTTGTAGACTCAGCATTTTCAACAATGTCAGCCGGACAGTGCCTTCGAGGGTCTTAATAAAGTGTATTCGTGAATGCGCAGGCCAGTACACGTAAATTCATAGTTTTAAATCTAATCAAACACTTGTGTACATTAAATATAACGTTTAAATAAAATATGTCTCGAAATACTTCCTCAGATAAAGAAAGACAAAATGAAGTTCTTTATTTCTTGATATTGTTTTTGAGAGGTTTGTGTAATATCCGGCGAAATGCGGCAATTGTCAAAATAGCCAATCAGTTTTATTTTGAAAACATAATTTATATATATATATATATATATATATATATATATATATATATATATATATACACACACACACTTGTGTTTATTCCCAAGTGTATATACATATATGTGTGTTTGTGTCTCAATGAATGTTTTACATATAGACACGTGTCTACGCGCATGCTCACATAAAGTAGAAAACAATAGAAAAATAGAAAAAAAAAAACACCGGAAAAACAAAATGGAGGCAGATATTTTTGTTGTTATTTTTGTTCTCTTTCTTTTTTATTTCTAATTTTCTTATTATTTTACTGGCTCCCATATGAGAGGGAAAATTGCC